TGAATGGTGGTGTCACTGTTGTTGGGAAACGATTATTCTTTTATTCAAAGGGATGGCGGGTGTACCCTGGTGTAACACCGAACGAAGATGCACCTCCTTATAAGGTTAATACTAATAGTAATAATAATTATTTATTATTATTGGATAATCAGCCTTTGTTTGGAAGTCGTCACTGGCGCAGCGCCAGCGCAGCTCTGGATTTTTTGGATGGCGCTATGTTTAAACTTGGGCATGCTCACTGTGCCAGGATAAATTTGCATTTTATTTGCAGCTGTAATTAGCTGATCAGCATCTCTCTGCCCCCCTCTCTCACTCCCTCTCTGCCCATCTTTCTTCTCATTATGATTTTGTATTTTCGCCGCCTCTTTCACCGCCTCTCCCCAATCCCTCATTTTCCAATGTCCTGGCAGCGCCACCAGATGTTTATCGCTTTTATACCCAGGGACGCTGCCATGTCAAACAGACCGAGGATGGACACTTGCAGGCGGTTGGGTATCCAGGCAAGCCCCCTCCCTTCCTCTCTCCCTCTCTCCCCTACCACCACCTCCTCCTCCTCTTTTCCTGGCTGTGCATAATCCTGTACTGGGTGGCCACTGGTAGTCCAGTGACGGTTTCATATGAAACGGGGTAAGGGGGTGGGAGAAAGCAAGGAGATCATTATTAATGGTTGCTGATTAAAGGGTTCTCCAAATATAAAATAAATAAAAAGAGCTCGATTTAATTCACCTCCCCTGAAATCTTACTCTTTTTGTCCGTGCAGAAAAGGGCCACATCCGCACTGATGGGAGGCTGATGGTGCTCCCCAGATATACTGCAGATAGAGATGTGGAGATGAGCTTAATGAGATGCAAGGCTGTGGGTGGGGTTGGGGGCAAACAACCAGTGCAGGAGTCTTCCCAGGAGACATCTGCACAATGCGACCTGCCCGTTATCTGCAAGGGAATGCACTCCCTCGCTCTCGCTTTCTCTCTCGCTTTAATGAGCAGTCGTTTATTAAACACTCTCTCACTCTTTTAACCCCATAATTGAAAAAAAGAGGCTTTTCTGGAGCGGCTCGACCCCCCACACTGCAGCAGCTCTGCTCCACTGCAGAGGATGCAGCGGTGGATACAGTGATTATATCCATCTAGCTTACCTGAGCTGCAACAATCCCCACCCCACCCTCCTCCTTCCCCTCCAGTTTGGCCATGATATACAAATATTTATCCGCTGATAAGGAACCACTACGATGGCAGATAACCTCCAGTGCCACTGCGTCAGGACTCTTTGTCTGTACAGTCTCAGCAATTACTAAACATTTCCCTCCCTTCCCCTCTTTTTTTCCTCCTAAAACTTCTCCGTTGCTTTTAATTCGTTAAAGCATTATTAGGAGTCTCTCTAAGCCTCTTTAGTCAATGACTGTTTGTGGAGTCTGGAAAAGAAAGAAAGCTTGGGAGGGGAGATGGGGGGGCGGGCGGAGTTCTGTGTGTGTGTGTG